TCCCCCTGTGGCCCTGGTGTTAAAAGTCAAGAGAGGAGGGGTCTCTTCTGCTAAGGATCCAGAAGTAGATTTTAGACCAGGAGTGTCCAACCTTAGCCCCTTTAAAAGACAGGAGGACTTCAACTCCCAGAATCCCCCAGCCAGCCATACTGGCTGGGGAATTCTGGGAGTTGAAGTCCACCTGTCTTTAAAGGGACCAAGGTTGGACATCCTTGTTTTAGACCAAAGAAACACCAAGATGCCAGTGTTTCTTTAGCCCAGAATCCTCCACTATGTCAGCCTGACCTCCGTTCTAGCTTCTCACCTGAGATTTTGGCAAAGAGTTAGGCGGACCATCGAGGGACGGAGAGCTGGCAGCACTCCGACCTCTCCGTCTTACTGAACGAGCTGCTTACACAGATAAAAAACTTTCTCAGGAGATCGATTCGGGCTGAAATCAAATCCACAAGAAAGCCGGGACTCTGACCCCCCAGATGGGAGAACCATGCAAGTCGGCCAGGGCAGCCGTGCATCGTGGGAATCCGAGTGCTCCAGATCAAAGAAGGGTGGGTGATAGCAATAGCACTTAGACTTATATTCTAAGTGGTTTACAGAGTCAGCCTCTTGCAAACCCCAACCATCTGGCTCCTCATTTGACCCACCTCGGAAGGACGGAAGGCTGAGTCAACCTTGAGCCTGGTGGGATTTGAACCACCAAATTGTAGGCGGCTGGCAGTCAGCAGAAGTAGTTTGTAGTGCTGCACTTTTAACAACTGCACCACGGAGGGTCCTAATATGCTAAGCAGGAGCAATTTAGGGCTGCCCTGAAGGAGGGGGGAGAGGAAGGCAGGCCGGATGAGCCTAAACCCAGGAGCCCTTTTCTCCCCTTGGAACCCTTCCGGCCAGACGGTGTGCCCGCCACCCCTTCCGGCCAAACGTCCCCTCTGGCCTCTGACCCTCCACCAGTAAAGGAACCGCCAAGTGGTGCCTCGAAGCCAGGTAAACAGCCCAGCCCGAGAAGGCACCTGGGGGAAAAGGAAAACAGCAATTAAACCTTCCAAAGCAAACAAGCCAGGTTGATACTGAAAACACGGGTGGCTGGCCGAGCCCAGCTAAGAAAACACAAACCTTGGAGGAGGGGATTTCAGAGATTTGGGGAGGGGTCCCCAGGAAAGCACACGCACGCACACACACACCCCGGCAAGCTCCGAATTTGCACCGGGGTGGGGTGGGTGTGTTGGGGAAGGGGCTTTGGCCCAGCCCCGACTGCAAACAAACCCAGCAGTCCAGCCCTTCCCACAATGCTCTGGGGCTCTTCTCCCTTCCCGGCTCGCCATTCCCACGCTTTGCAATGATCTCAACCTTTGGAAATGCAGAGGGGGCCGTCCAGTTCGCGCCGGGTTCCTCCCCCTCTTGATTTGGGAGTGGTTGAACTGGAAGGCCTCGTCCACCCCCCCATGGCCGAGGAGGGAACGACACGGCCAGCAAGCCCCCTTCACACAAGTGCATGGCCTGCACATGGTTTAGTGACGAGCTTGGCGTGGTTTCCCCCGGCCCCCAATTCCTCTTCCTCTGAGTAGACTTCAACTCCCTGAATGGCTCAGCCTGGGGGATTCTGGGAGTCGAAGTCCATACATTTTCAAGTGGGGGCCAAGTGGGGAGACTCCGCCCTGGAGGCAGGGGTTAAAATTAAGATAGAAGCAGGTATTTAATGACAGAAGCCAGCGAAACGCAACCGCTTGCTTCGTACACCCGGCTGTGCCACCCTCTAAACTTGGATTTGTCCAGTTAGCTAGAGAGTAAACCAGGTTTCGCACAACTCGCTAAGCCTCCAAGCCACGTTTGGCGAACTACAGTGGTTCGCACAAATGCCCGAAGTGAAAAGCAACCCAGTAAACCACGTTAGCACCAGCTAACCGGGATCGGCGCCCCCTCCCCTCCCCCCAAAAGAGGCCACACAACAGACATCGGATTCCTGGGTTGAAACAAGGGTTATTTTTTATTGTCAAAAGGGTTTGTCACTCCCATGTCCACACCTGGCTCTTTCCCTTTTCTTTGTCACAGCCCACCACCAACCACCCCGGGAATTGCTGGTCGCCAAAAGCCAGAGAACACAATTCCCTCCCCTGCCCCTCTTGTCGAAGAAGCAGCTTTGAAGCACCCAGCATGGTTTGCGGGAAGGAGGAAGAGGAGGGCAGAGGGGGCACCCCTGACTTGGGAGCTGGGAGAGAGAGGAAGAGAGAGAGAGAGAATTATGTGTGCACGGTCATATTTTTTTTTTTGGGGGGGGGGGGGGGGGGGGGGTTGCAATTTGTTTTTTTGGTTTTCTTAGAAAAAAGCAAGCACCAGAAGGATGAAGACAATGAAAATATATATATATGTGTGAGAGAGAGAAAGACTTGGGTCCTATTTACAGTATGGCTGGGACAGACGTCGGGCTCAGGGGGCTCCGCTCTGCAGGGGTCTCGAAGCGCCACAGGGCTTCGGAGGAAGCAGCTGCGCCTCTGGGCATAAATAGGGGGAAGCGGAGACCCTACTCGGTGCCCCCATGGACACATCTCCCAGGGCTCCATGGACCACCCAGCAGGGTGGGGAAGGGGGGGGCTGATCAAGGGGGCACCCTCCCGTGTCGCGACCCACCGAGCTCCGTGGCAGAGAGGGGACACTCCCACCTCCAAAATACAGGATTTTTATTCTCTTTGGGAGACAAAAGCGAGGAACACAGACGGAGGACAGAGAGCGGGGAAGGGTGGCCGGCGGACCTCAAGAGGACCCCTGCTCTGGTTGTTCCTTGCCCAGCCCCTCGGATAACCTCCAACTTTTTTCTCGCAACCTCCCTGGAGACCCCCCACCCCCCTGCAAATAGCCAGGCCGGCCCCGCCAAGATGGGCTCTCCGTAGCCGCGGGCTCTTGGGAAGGCCCCCCGGAGAAGCTCCCCGAATTCCAAAGGGTTGGGGGGGGGACACTGAGCGAGGGGACCTGCTTTCTAATCTAACAGATTAACAGAGTTGGAAGGGACCTTGTAGGTCATTCCCTTGGGCTGCCCGGAGGATCCTGCGATCGGTTCATCCCTTCCGTTTCTGCAGCCAGCCGTCTTAATTGACGACTGGGGGGGGGGGGGGGGGGGGGGGGGAAGAAACTCCCTCTTCAAAGTTGTAGGTTTCTCTCCTTATTCCGCTGATCGAAGGGAAAACACTGTTGGAATCATCCTAGATGCTTTAAGTTAGGGATGTCCAACCTTGCCCACTTTTAAGATGCGTGGACTTTAACTCCCAGAATTCCGCAGCTGGCTGAGGGATTCTGGGAACCGAAGTCCACCCATCTTATAAAGTGGCTGGAATGGGATGCCCCTGCTTTAAATACTCCTCTTTTTAAAGGCAGGCAAAGAAGATCTCCCCGTCGTGAATCGAGGGCGGTGCGTTTCAATAAGCCAAACCTCCGGTCATCCCTCAGCTCCTCCCCTTCAGAATTCGGGGCCCTCGGACTCCTTGGCTGCCCAGGGCGTCAGCCCTTCCTCGAACTGCCTTGACCCGCCATCCGCTGCCTCCGGGGCTCCCAAGGGCTGAGTTTCCGAGAGGGGCGTGAGCCAGGCGCCCACCCCTGAGACAAGACCAGCCAGCCGTTGGCCAGGAAGCACGAGCAGCCGCCCCCAACAGCTCCTGGCCAATGCCGGCCGAGCGCCCATGATCCACTCCCAAGACGATTCCACCAGATCTCTTTTTCCTGCCCCGAGAGGATTTTACATCCCGCATCTCTTTCCCAAAGGGCTCCTCCACGCAGGCACGTTTACACCCCGTCGAAGGTCCGCACCCACCTGGTCTGAGAGGCCGTGGCAAACAGCAGAGAGGAAGGGAGAGCCCTTTCAATCCGGCCAGGTGCCTGGACTCGAGGCCTGGGAGGGCTTGGCCCGAAGGCACGTCCTGGTTTCTATCAACCAGCGGCCTTCGGGGCTTCGCTGCAGATCCAGGGGAGGTTGGACCTGGCAGCCGGCATCGGACGACGTTCCCGGGAAAAGCTTCTAAGTCTGGAAGACATTTTTGCCTGTAAGCTCCAAGCCCTGCTAAACAGCTTCTCCAAGGCCTTGGAAGGGCCCCGCTTCTCCCTCAACCAGCTTTCTAGAAGGGGAAACACAACACCGAGTTGTGTTTTGCGATTCTGACCGCAAAGCCCTCTTCCCTCAAGGTGAGGCGGCTCCTGGGCGTTTCGGATCGCTGGAGGCTTGTGCAGCCCGGGGTTGTCGCGGATGGGTCTCGTCGTCCTAAAGGTACGGAGCCACCATTTTAACTCCGCACCGGCCTCTTCCTGCCCCTCCGGAGCCAGCGATGAAGGATGAATGGACAGGACAGAGCGTTGGCGATCTAAAGCAAAGCGGGTGTCGCCCCCCCCCCCCCCCGCGGCCGCCCCCCCCCCCCCCCCCCCGAGAATCCCTGCTGCACAGCCTGCCCACCCGCAGCAGCAAGAAAACACACACCAGAACGGCACACAAGTCCATGTCTTGGCTTCTGGCTTTGATGACTAGAGAGAGAGAGAGACCCACCACGGTGGAGGCTCTGTGCGTCTGGGGTACAGCAGAGTTCAGTTCAGTTCAGTCTGACAACGGAGAAAATAAAAACAACCAACCCAATTCCCCAAACCCCCCAAATGGAAAAGAGAGAGAGAGAGAGAGAGAAAGAGAGAGAGAGAAATCCCTTCAGGAGAGCAGGTTACCCTGCCAGCTTGCTGGTGACGAGGGACGATTTTCTCTGGGGGAGATCCTGGGGCGTGGGGATGTGGTCACCGGTCACCAGGTTCTTGTCGGTACCCGCCGTTGGCAGCTGCTTGTTCTTGATTTTGGCTTTGGCCATGTTGTAATCTCCGGAGTCAAAGTACTTTTGCTGGAGAAGAAAAGACGGGGTTAGATTTGGGTCCCAACGGATGGAGAAGCCACCGCAAATGGCGGCCCGAGGAGAGGCCCCTGTAGAGGCTCCAAGGAGAGGATTTTGAGCTGCCACTTGGCACAAGGTAGGCCCGTCTAGATGCCAACCTCTCGTCCCCTCCTGCTGCCCCTTTCACCAAGTAACAGCTGCGGCCACCAATTCCTCCAAATGGGCCCCGCCTCCAATTCGTGGCCTGTTGTTTCCTTTAGCCCAGGGTTGGGGAATTCTGGGAGTTGAAGTCCACAAGTGACCAATGTTGCAGACCCCTGCCCTAGCCCACCCAGCCACCGACCGGTGCTCTCCTCCCCTCTGCTGCTCCCATGTGCCACAGAGGGACTGATCTGGTTACATTCAGGGCAAAATATGGGCCGGCTTTGCCAGAAAACAGCGGAAACGCCAGAGAGGTTTCCAACCTATTCCTTTCAAACGGAGGCTTTCCCACCGGGTGGGAATCCTGCAAGCGGGCACCAAGAGTCTTAGCCAGGCCCGCTTCCAGCCAGGCCTCCCCCAAACGCTCCACAAGGCCAGGCAGCCACCCATTCACTCTTATCAGCTGCCACCCAGCCGGGTTTTGGTTCCTTTCCTGCCACCCTGATTTCCCTAGACTGCTTTCCAGGAGGGGGGGGGGGTCCTCTGGGGGCTCACCTACCCCTTTCTGCAGCCTCTTCATTAAGAAGTCAGAACCCCCGGGCTTCTGCAGTCCTATGTTGGGATATTTGGCTTTTAATTTGGCCTCCTCTTCTTTCTCGGGGATGCCCGTTTCCTTCTCCTGCGTGTCCTGAAAGAAAGCAAGGCACCCCAAAATAATAATAATAATAATAATCAAGAACAGCCATTAAGCCCTGAAGGGACAGAAAATACTTTGTGTATCGAAAGAGCCACCTCCCAGCTCTCTGAAGGGAGTTCAAAGCACAACACTAAAGAATTTGCAAAATTCCTAATATCTGCCTCAGTGCATTGAGCATTAGGAGGCACCCCCGCTGACTCTCACCCGCTAATCCACCCCTGTTTCTTCTACGTTCTGGAAGCACCAGACCTTCCTCTTCCTGGGCCGGCTAGATATTTCTAGAATGCTGATGAACAGGAACCAAAAGAGAATAAATAAATAACTGGACGGGGTAAAAAGAAAAGAAAAAAAGACTGTCACGCTTTTCAAACTCTTATCTGAGAGCCAATCCTACATTCCTGAACTTTCTTCCACCCCTAGAAGAATTTATCTTTTCTTTAAGCCATGCCAGCCTCTCTTAAGATAACACTGGAAGAGATTGTGCTGATCTCAATCAATCCATCTTTTATGACAGTCACAGAGCAGCAAATAAAAAGATCATTAAAACAATAACTTTTTTAAAAAAAACAAAAGACAGTAATATATTGCTGATCGGGTTGGGCTGATCTCAAACGAGCTTCCGTGGTGTGTATGTGTCTGTGTGTTTTGTTTTGTTTTGAAAACAGATTCTTCTCATTACAATAGCTGGATCTCGTCCTGGTGTTATTTTCAGATGCTCACTCCTGACATTGTCATCTCTGCTGCCGGCGCTGTTGCTGCCAAGCCGGATGCCCTGTCAGTTATTCTTGCCTGAAACCGAACCTTGCCAGGGTGAGCTTTGCAGGGATGCCAGCCCCCCTCGTGGTTTATTTGGAGCGGCCTGATGGGCCACATCAGCTGCAACGTCTCTTCGCTTGAAGTGGAAGCCTTTGGGGCAAGGAGTTCAGCCAACCACATAGGGCAGCAGACATGGGGGGTGGGGGGGAGAGGGCCGCTAGGGAGGGTCTCACCCAACTCCCACCCCCCTACCCCCAGGTGCCAAGCTGTTATCTAAGCTGCTGCCGAAGCTTAGGACAATTAACCCGTGGGACAGCTCACCACCAGAAGCTGCGGGTTTTCAGGAAGAGCCTGGACCTGGAATGATCTTGGGTCTCCTGCTTGAGCAGGGGGGTGGACTAGAGGACCTCCCAGGTCCCTTCCGACTGTATTATTCTATATTCTGAGCAGGGGGTTGTACTGGATGACCTCCAAGGCCCCTTCCGGCTCTGTTGTCCCGTTAAGATGCTCTACTCTGCCGGGGAGAAAAGGTCGGGCGAGGTCTACCGCAGCGTCTCCCAACTTCAACCCCTTGAAAGAGGCGCGGACTTCAACTCCCAGGATCCACCCTGGCCAATTCCAGGAAGTGAACTCCACCCAAGGCCCATTTGGGGAATTCTGGGAGTTGAAGGTCTTCCTCTCTTTGGGGCCAACCCCGTGGGGGGGGGGGAGGACTGGCGGGCAGCTGTGGCCCCTTTACTGCCTGTGGACTCCCAGAATTCCCCAGCCAGCCGTGTCCAGGAAGAGACCGAATCACCCAGCGGGGATGCACGGCAGGGCCCATCATCCCCCGCCTGGGGAGGGGAGTTCATGTCCTTCCGTAAGGCGACAGAGGAGGCGCTGCGCTTTCAAGAGGCGGCTCGGGTCGCTCGACACGCAACTGGCCGGCTTCCCACGCGCGACTTTCCCCAGCAAGGGTATTCACCATAAAGATGCGCGGGCAAGAGGGGGAAGCAATTCCCAACCGGAAGTTCGGGCTGCGGGTAGCCGCGCTCGCTCCTCTCTATGATCGTTCCCCCGCCCCCCCACGGGCCCGAACGCCGGAGAGCTCGCCGACCAATGAGCCCCCGGGCATTCCTAGGGTTTAGCCAATCAGGGAGCAGCTCGGCGCCGAGTGGCGGAGCTGCAGACCAATCCACGCCGCCCGTTCTGCACACTTCCCCCACCAGGGCTGCTCGGCCCCTCCCCGCCCTCACCTGTTTCTCGACGCCGGTCTCGTCGGGACGGCTGTCATTGCCGCCACGCGTGTCCGACATGGCGAGGCGCGAGGAGCCGAGCCGGGCGGCCCGAGGAAGGCGAGGGTAGAAGCGCTAGGGCCAGGCACGGCCGGCGCCCTCTTTCCCGCTCGCCTGCCCCTGTCAGCGGAGAGCCAAAATGGCCGCCGCCTCCTCCGCCCCCTCGCTTCATTATTCCCCGCCCACGGGGAGGAGCCGCCATCCTCGTAGCGAATCACCGGGCGATCGCTCGGAGGCGGGAGACATGGCGGCCGACCAATCGGGCGCTCGGTTTCCAACGCAGGGATTGACAAACTGTGAAAGGCGGGAAAAATATTCGAATTAGAGGGGCACCGCCCTCGACCAATAGGAATCGGAGAAGGCGGGGCAAACAGCCTCATCATTGAGCCAGAGTCCATCAGGACATCCCGGCGCGGTGCTCCTGAGCATGGACAGAGTGCATCACCCCACTTGCTCCCAAGTGCATCCCCCTGAGCACGCACAGATTGCGTCTGCAAGCCCTAAAGCACGTGCAGAGGGCTTCCCCCCCGCCTCCCCCCCAACAGATGCAGAATTGCAGACCGGGCCAGGCTGAGGAAGCCCCCCAGAGGCCCCGCTCTGCGCCCCGGTCTCCCCGAGGGTCCTTCGTCCCCGTCGACCCCCCCCCTCCGCCCGAGAGCGCTGCCGGAGCCGCCTGGCTGCAGTCCCGGGATAGGCCGCCAGAGGCCGCCCGCGCGCTTCCAGCCTTGGTCCAGCCGCAGGACAAGCGGCCGGGGTCGCAGAGGGGATCAGGCCGGACCCCGCGGGAAGGCCGGCAGGGGCAGGAGGCGCGGGGGGGCTCCCGGTGGGGACGGGATCAGCCTTGGTCGCCCCTCCCCAACCCCGCCAAACTGGTCTAATTATAACGGAAGGAAGGGATAATGAGCTGGAAGGGACCTTGGAGGTCTTCTAGTCTAGCCCCCCCTCCCATCTGTGCTATTTCTATGAGTCGCCTTGGCCTATCCTGGTCTCTCCAGCCACGAATGGTGGTCAGTTTGCCCTGCCACCAAAGGCCTCTGGGGGTTGCAAAGGCGCATTAGCCAAGGGGGAGGGCCGAGGCCACAAAGGCGCCAGGGGGGATGGCCGAAACTGCCTTTGGCCTTTGCATGCTCCCGCGCACCAGACCACGGGCAAAGGGCACTCCCCCCCCCTCCTCCCAGGGGTCTCCACCGCCATCACTTCCCGGCATCAACAAGCATCCAGAAGAGCCAAAATCTCCCTGATTTCCCCCCTCTGGTCACAAGCCCATTGGCCTCCGCAAGGTGCCTTCCCTGTGTGGCTGTGCCTGATGGGACATGGTTGGCCCAGCCACAGGACAGGGGAAGGGGGTAAACCACCTGCATGGCCCCACCCCTTCATCTGCATGGCCACGCCTCCTGCTCTTCCACCTGGCAAAGGTGCCAGCCCCCTCCCTTCGGTCTCTAGGAGCTGGGCCAGGTTTAGGATGGCATTGAGGGGGGGAGGAAAGGACCTGAGTCTGGAGTGGGGGGGGGCAACTCCATAGCTGCTGCTTTAAGAGAGAAGCCCCCCCCCCCCCCGCCCTCCCCCCCCCCCCCCCTTGCCCCCATTTCCCCCATACCCGGTGGGGATCAGCCATGCGCCGCCTCCCTGGAAGGCTGGCCGCCCTGCAGACGGGGTGGGCCAGGGCTGGAAAATGGCAGGGCGCATTGATCGGTGTCTGTCAGCTTCTCCGGCACAATGGCCCTGCCTCATGTCCAGACACCGCACCACCGCACAGATCAATGGGGAACATCAATACTGCCAGAATTGCGTGGCCGCTATGGCAACCGGCGAGAGGAGAACGAAAGCAACGAGTTGGGGGCTTCCAAGTTCTGGGCTGGGTGGGTGGGGGGGAAACGTGCTCGATCCACCCTCTCTCCCCACTGGGAAGGCCAAACCGGATGCAAGATTTATTTATTGGGGGGGGGGTTGGTGCCTTTCCTTGCTCAGGTGGGTGGCCCCTTGCTGGATGATCCAGGGGGGGCTAATCATGCATTGGAGGGGGGGGTCTGCTGGCTTCAGGGGCCAGAAGCGAGAAGGTTCTCCGGGTGGTTTTGTACCCCCAAAGGCAAATTTCACAACACCCAGCACCCCAATGCCCAAGGGGTTGGCGTTTCGCCTGGAAATAAGCCTCAGCCAACCGAAGAACAAACATGGCATTGTTTAAAACTTGTCTCTGCTCTTCAGTGAAACCTCCCACATATATATATATATTCTCTTTTTCTATACACACACACACACACACACATACATACATGCTTGCAGGATATATATTTTGCCTTGCAGGAAGGAGGCAGCAGGTTGTTGTTTTTTTAAATAATTATTAAAAAACTATGAAATACAAAAAGTTAAAATACGCAAATATACAAGATTGAAAGACAAAAAGTCATACAAATAAATGTCACAACACTTTCTATGATAGAACTGATTTACATTTTCCTTCAATACATTTGATAGCGAGTTAGGTATCTCATAATTAATATTAGGTGGCAATTATTTCCTATATCCTATAGGTTATCTGTTGTTTATACTCTATAAAATATAATATATACGCGCTTTTCTCGTCAATTGGAGGAGGCTGCAGTTTCAAGCAAGCAAGGAGATAAAAGGAGGGAAAAAAGGCCCGTTTGGCAGCCGGCTGTGCGTTTTCTCCCCCCCCCCCCCCCCCCCCAGAAATGACTTTTGAGATATCTCTGGGACTGAAATCTCCGGTCCGCGGCTGTCCGCAGCCCTTCGGCAGATCTCTGACCGTTTTCTGGCGCAGAGACCGACACGTTTTAAAATAGATTGAGGGGTTGAATAAAATCTGTCAAGTCTTTTAAGCTCCTTGGGGCCGAGTCGGTGGGTAGATTTACTCGAAATGGCTTTGAAAAAATCAATAGGACTGCAAGGAAGGAAGGAAGGAAGGAAGAAGACGAAGGACCGAAGCCGCCTCTTTCTCTCTTCTGAACCCCCCCCCCCACCAATCTTTGGCCAAGAGGCTCCCCAAAACTATGGGGCTCAGAGACCAACCGATCCTGCCTTGGGATCCCACCACCACCTCGATCTCCTGCCCTCTGGCTGATCCCAGTGAGGAAACGTTGGGGAATCCCTGGTGGGTTGCAGCGGCCCTTTCCGGTCTCTTCTCTTTTTGTACTTTCCTGGCGGCATCCATTGACGTTTGCTGATAGCAAGCCAGGAATCGGGGTTTGAGAGGAAGAGAAAACAAAGGGGAGGACGAGAAAGGCGCCAAAGCTTTTGCTGTGGGGCTGGCTGACCCTGTTCCTCTCCTGTTTAGACAAGCGGGTGTTCAATTCTGATTAGACTGATGAAAAGGCCTGAGTGACCAGTTATTTTTCTCTCTGCCCTGGCCTCCCTAGCAGGGCTGTTGTGAGGGCATTAAAGGTCTTTTCGTGAGGGGAAAGCCCCTCAGCTTCCCACCTGCCCAACAACTCCCACCTGAGGGGGTTTGGCAGCATGTGCTGGGCTAACATAAAAGTTTAAAAAGCCAAAAAACCAACCAGCATCGTTGTGCACAACGGCCCTCCTGCTTTCTCCACGCAAAAGTGTGTTTGCATGTGCAAGAGAGAGAGAGAGAGAGGAGCCCATGTTGCAGTGTGTGCCACATGGGCGAATCTCCCGCCCAGCTTATTGATTGGGGCTGCATTGATCTGCTGGAAGGGGCTGGGGGGGTGGAATAAGGGGGAGAGGAAAATCAATAGCCACGCGGCAATCGGCTTCTCTGCTCCCTGGGATGCGTTCGCTCGCTCGCTCGCTTGCACGGCTGTGCCACATTGTTAGAGCCGTTTTTTTTTAATTTGCCAGGAGGACAAAGTGAGTGTGTAACGCACGCGTAGGAGCCCGTGCCACGTTTGATTGTGGGTTCGAGGGGGCTTTTTGGAAATCAGAGGGACAGGCTGGCCTCGTATCGGCACCGGGGAAGACCCCTCGGCCTCGTGGCGTCACACTGGAGCCAGGCTCTCCGCCATCGAGGTGCCCCTTTCCAGGACTGGCATCGCAGAGGTGAGTCTGGGGACCCATGCTCCTTTCCCCTGGCAGCGGCCGGGCCATCCTGCCCAGGCCTGGCCGTCCAGGCACAGCCAGGAGGGGGGGCGCCCTTCCTGGTGCAAACCAGGAGGGTTTCTAAGCCAAAGGCCCAACCTGGCAGCTTTACGGATCCAAACGCAGACGAGGTGGGCAGCAGCATGCCCACCTCCCCAATCAAGATAATAAAACAGATTTTAAAACTAAATATAAATTAAACAATGCAGAAATCCGAGGGCCGATAGTTCCCTGCATGCAGTGGGCGAGAGATGCCGCCTGCCCGGTTTGAAACAACATTAGCATCCGGGGCACAACCGGTACAGGCGATCCGGAGGGGGTGTGTTTGTCGTCCCAAGTCGTGGCCCCTTTTGAAGCTCTTCCCACTTCTGCGTGTTGCTTGCAGTGGGGCGTGGGGCACCGTCAGTGTCCAGGCCAGAAGTTACCGGTTTTGCAAATAAATAAGACAAAAGTTGTGTTTAATCCGTGACCTAAAAGGAATTTTCCTTGTTTTTTGCGTGGCGTATTTATTTATTTGCAAATCCTTCCAGGCCACTTTTGAGTGTCTTAGGGAGCATCGACGCACCTCTTGTGAAAGGGGCCACTCGGGGGGGCCCTCCCTCCCTCTCCCCGCAAGAGAGGATGCTGGGAGTTGTAGTCCTGAATACCTGGTTCAACCCATCTCCACAGCCACCGCTTGGATGGCTGCCATCTGCTCCTCTTCTCCAATACCAACTGGTCCAAAGGGTGCCAGAGCCTTCCGGATTCACAGAACGCCGGTCACAGACCGTGCCGTGAAACCCGGAAAGGTGCATCTTGGCACCGGCCAAAGGTTTCCCCAATGCAAACCCAAACCCTAAAACTTTGCTTGCTCACTTGGCTTCTACTTGCAATGGGGGGGAGGGGGGAGGGGAGGGAGGAAGACCAGCATTTTATTTATTTTTAAGCGGGGGGGGGGGGGTGTCTGCAATGCCCCCCCCCCAAAGCATCTCCTGAGCGGAGGGGGCTCCTCCCCAGATCAGAGGCCATCTTCGTCTCCAAGCCCTCTGCCTTCTTCCTCCCCCCCCCACCCCGCACACACCTCCGCTGCCAACACCCCATCATCATCTGCAACC